TATGCTTCAATATTAATTAATTTTTAAAATCTAAAATTGGTAAATTGGGAAGTTACAATTTAAATCCCTTAAATTTTGCCTACTTTCCAAAAGTAAAAAATACCAAATCCCAAAATACTAACCAAATTCCAAAATCTTCCATAATTGAAAAAATTTGAAAACCCCTCCTTGTCCGATTTTTCTTCTTCCTCTCTTGTTCGAAGACTGCTCCRTTCCGGCCGTCTGCGCTCCTCCATTCGGGCCGTCTGCGCTCATCCGTTCCGGCCGTCTAAGCTCCGTCTCCAGCCATCTGCGTTCATTCATCTCCGACCGTCTGCGCTCCTTCTCTCCGACTTTTCTTCTTCGTCTCCGGCCGTCTATGTTCCTCCATCTCCGGCTTCATCAACGTTCTTCGTCTCCGGTCGTCGTCTCCATTATTCTTCATCATCGGAGCAATCCTCTATTCTTTCTCTCTCGTTCGATTTTCGTCTGCGCTCCTTCGTCTCCATTCGCCGTCTGCGCTCCTTCGTCTCCGTTCATCGTCTCCTTCATCTCGCCGATTGGAAAGTAGTTTTGTCTCACCATGACATATTTTTCATTCCAATATATCCTCCAAGTTTTTTTTTATTTCAGATTTGAACAAGGTTGAAAACTCATTGTTTTTTTTTTACTCTTAAACCCCTTCCATACACATATATATTCAATGGTTTTTTTTTTCGATTCATGATTTTGTATAGTTTAACGCTCTATTTTTGTACGCACCTAGATTTTAGTAGTGCAAAATGTAGTTGTGAACTATGGATATACCTTATAGTGAGTTTGATTTCATCGCTTTGTCATCAGTATATATGAGGATATATGGGGATATATCTTATAATGTGTACCTTTACTTCCATAATATTTATAGAAATACAAATCATTGACATTGATATCAAATTATTCTTATAAGTTTGAATAATACATAGTTTGTATGTTATAAAACAATATTAATAGGTATATAAATTATATTAACCGTATCCATTATAATATTTGAATTCAAAAGTCTTCACAGTATATACGTTATATCATAAAAATATACAAATGAATACTTAATTGTTAATATTCTATAATAATACGTGATATGTAAATTAGATCTTACTTAAAAGACGTATATACATAATGTTAATTACATCGTGAATAATAGTAGATTTCAAAAGTAYAAGTAGRATATATGTTATAACYGTATATTGTATATATGRGAATATATGAGAATATATCGTATATGAAAATATATTGACTGAAGCAGCATATATTGTAAATATTAGAATATATTGTATATGTGGTATATATCTTATACATAATTCCAGCTATTTTATTTACCTATGAGACCATCATGGATTTGTGAAAGGAAACCCTAAAGTTGATAGTGTGGTTGGCTCCAATGTAATTTAATCAAACAATTTCAAATGCGTGGGAACTTCACACCGAAAAAATCATATGGAAAAATATTGTTGGATCAAAATTGGATATTTTTTTAATTAATAATAATGATAAATTATAGGAAAAAATCTTTTTTTGAAGGAGTGAATTAAGGGATTAGTGTTGAAAATTTATATGGGTTCCACAATAATTAAAGGAGTATGATTACCATTATGGAATTAAATATTTTAAATTTCAAAATAGTAAAAAAGTATAATAAAAATATATATAATAAATAAGGGTAAAATTGGTATTTAAAAAAATCCTATGTGGAGAATTCTAAAACTGTAAAATTGGGAAACATTAAAGATTTGTGTAAATAAGTTTCTAAAACAGAAGATATTATCTTGTCGGATCGATTCAGATCCTTACGCCCCTAGTTTTTTCCGACCAACTTTCATTTGTATTATTTAGCTATCAAGTAACTTCTTTTAATATATCCAGTTGGTAGCTGCCATTAAATTTGAACTTATTCTTCAAAAAAAAAAAAAAAATCCTTCAGGAGGGTAACTCATTTTTGTAATAAATATTTTAAACTAATTAGAATTTTAAGTTAAACTATAAATTTAATAGCTTTAAATACATTATTTTCTGTTAACTATGCATAGGAGTAATATGTTGGCCAACCATGCAGGTAACACTATTAACATGTTTTCCAATCCTTAAAATTTGATGAAATCGAAGAGTTTTTTGTTCCTAAAGTTGCCATTTTTAAATGTACATTTTTCTATATAATTAAGATTAAACAGGTATATGATTAATAAGTTTACATAAATTCCAATATATATATTTTTTGTTTACTAACAAATACGAGCATAGCTCAGCAATTAAACATCTTGCTCTTTCTCTAAGGATCGGCATTTCAGTCTCCATCACATTTGTTAATAAAAAATAAAAAAAACTTATTATGAGAATGAATTAATGAGTTTACAAGCTCTAACAAGCTTATCGAGGAGAAAATGAGAAGCCAATGGCAACAATTCAATCCAATAAATCATGAAGAAAAGCAAAAAGGGGGAGAAAATCCTCAGAATAAAGGCTTCTTTCCATTTAACAATCCCATCAAGTGATCCAGAACTTGGGGCCCTGCATCTCGCAGACCAGAATGCATATATTCATTGGTTATCCACAGCCTTATTCCTGCTATCTGGGAAGCTGTCTCCATGGCCAGCTTGAAGTTTACAAACATATCTTCGTAATAAACAGCAGCTGCGACTGGAACCTGTGAGGGGAATCCAGAAAACATGTTAATTTTCGTTGACGAGTCCCAAGCTGATCCTGGTTTTTTTCCCTCGAATATCTATCTAGCAAACTTGCAAGTACCTCGAGTAGTCTCTTAGGACGACTACTTGATTCTACTACATTTGGTTGTCAAGAAAACTTGTAGAAGTAAGTGGCCACTAGGCTACCCGTGACGGATGGACGTGCTTCTATGAAACGTTGTGCGAGATTTTGTGGGTTAAAAACGTTATCAATATGATCATTTTTACGCACTCATTCAGAAGATGTAGGAGAAAGACAAGCTCATTTTTGCTAACATGGAAATGCAGAAGCTCTTGAAACAGAATACCTTGTTGTTTCTAAGAGCGGCAACGTCATATAGTGGAGGCCAATCCTCTTTCTCGGCCAATATACGAGCAGCATCTTTCAATGGTCTCAAGGCATGAATCTCGTCAAACATCCACGGGAAGACCATCTGCAGAAGTGTAACAAATTAATGGAGCATACACAATGGGAGTTTTATATCTTTGTGCTTAAATTCCCAAAGTCAAGCATAGCCTTATAAACTTAGATGGAGATTCAAACTCACGACCTTCTACTCAAATATAAACTTAGATGGAGATTCAAACTCACGACCTTCTACTCAAATATAAGTGTTTTAACCAGTTGAGCATAGTGCAGTTACCTCGCCTGTGAAAAACATGGGACATCCTTCTTTCAGGGCGTTATTTGCATCGAACTTATTCTTAAGTTCATTCTTTATTCTTTGAGCAGACCACCGAGATGAGGCACCCTTCGGGAAACCGGCACAGGAAGTGGCAAAAAGTTAACACTACAAAAAGTTCTGACGGGCCAAAACATAGTTCTACTCTGAGAATCAAAAGGAAAAAGAAGAAAGCTACCTGGCAATATATTGATTCATGTAGAAGAACATATAGAGGATTTGAATCAAGTGAGAGCCAGTTATCACACTGCAAATATGTCTAATCATTTAGATTCATTCAAGAATGAAGCTATAGTTATATTCAATAGCAATAGAAACTGTAGAATACTAACAGCGCGGAGGAAGAAAGAACTGATTCGTTTTGGCGCTCCAGGAACTATTACAGGATCCCAAACTCTCTCAAAGCTGCCATAATTGAGGTGGGAAATATAAAGTAATTAGATTACAGTATCTTGGGTGGCCATTCACTGGTCCAAATGATAGAGACCAGAAAGGAAAAAAGAAAAAATAATAATAATAATAATAAGAGGCCTTACAGATAATGCAAGCGCTCAAAACCTGTACTAGATCCTAAAGCAAAAAGACCAAGAACTTGCAGCCCCTTAGGGGTTAGGATACCACCAGAGGGAAGAACAACCTAAACAAAAACAGAAGGTAAAAGGGTGGTTTTTCAGGGAATGGCTAAGGGAACTGAGAGAATTTTAAGCAATTAGTTCGAGTTTTAAGACAACTGTCCTCACCCCGCCACCATGCTCAGCCAAGTATTTCGCAACTTCACGGATGATTTCAACATCCTGAGGATACCGCTTGTAGTACTTTTCGTTTTGAATTATAACCTTTTCAAAGCATGCTCTATATACAGAATCCGCAGTGCATTTATTCCCAATTGGAGGGATTCCTCCAGTTATGAGGACTTGTTTCAATCCTTGTGGTGCAAAACTCAAATAAGTAACTGCACAAAAACCACCAAAGCTCTGCACAGGGAAACAGAGAATTTCCTTGAACTTGTAGTGGTGTAAATTACCCCATACAACAAAAGCAGAGCCACATTCAAAAATCTCAAAGCCAAAAAGTCTGCTATTTGCTTTATATAACTTCAACATGCTTGAGAAAATAGTAGTAAGCTCAACATGTTGGTAGCAAAATTTCGAAACTAAAAAATAAACAGTGGATTTAAATACCTGACCCAAAATAGTCCAAGGTCCAGCATCAGGAACAAGACGAGTCCTAATAAATTCAGCATCATTCACGATGTTGTCAGCTCGAAAATGTTTCAAGTAGTTGGCTAAGTCCTCTGCACTTTGAAATTGCGACATAGACGATGAAGTCAGAGGAGTTGATAATCCTGTTCCTCGCTGCAATGACACGTATATATATGCGGGATCAACAATCAAGAAGACAGTTGTTTATATTACAAAATTCAAATGCCTTTTTCCAAAGGCAGTCAACAAAAAGTCATGCCTGATCCATCAACACAACACGAAATTCTTCACACGCTTTTTGCATCCATCCACTTGCTTCGGTCGGTCGGGGACTCTCAAATCCCGGTCCACCTTGTAAGTATAAAAGATATGGCATCGACTGCTCTTCTTTCCCCACTGCAATGCACATTCTGCATATGTTAAGGATAACTAGTGCTAAAATCATACAACAATCCATGTACATGTAAAAACTGGCACAATAAATCTAAGTTCAAATAAGGGATGATTGCTAATCATTATCAAAGAAATTCTACACAATTCCTGATAAATCTAAGTTAAAATAAGATCATTCAATATTTAAGGAGACCCTCAATCATTGAATCAGTAGCTTCAGCAATACTCAACACTTCTACACAATTCCTGATAATTATTTGTACTCTGACTAAGATGTCCACATATTTTCAGAGCCCATACGCATAAAAGTCCCCACTATTACTCAATGAGTGCATCCATAATTTTCAAATAATAGTCATTCATACAAAAGTATGACTGAATATCACAGTAGAAATGGGTATAGATTTACAAATAAAGCAACACAAACTAATCATAATTTAAAGAGATTTCAAAAGATGTTAAAAGCACATCTAATCATATATTTTTTTTCTTACTCTCGTTCTTTTCTCATTACGATTTCATGCATACCATTAAGTTAATTGATTCATGTGGTTGAAGTGTTCATTAATGAAGGAAAAAATTATCTAAGCAACACAAAGTTTGTTCTATTAGATGCCCATTAATTGATTTCGTTGTTGTGTCATAATTCCTATTAACATCAATGACACCAATCTATAACTTCCCTGACACCATAACTCCACAAAATTAATAAATGAATGGAGAAAACTCTGCTAGTGATCAACACTAGTCACCTCTATACTACGAAATTCTAAGTTTCAACCATCGATGCTCCATAATTGGTCCTGGATCATTCAAATAAATAAGAAAGGAGCAACCAAAATTAAAAAACAAATGGATTAATCAAAATGTCGAAAGTAATATCAAAGTCGAATTAAGGCTTGATTACTGATTGATTAATTTACCCAAAACAACTTCCCGCGCAAAAACGGAGATCTTAGGAGAAGCATCCTGATCCAGAGAGTAATCGAGAGGCACAGTGAAGTGGTGGTCGCGGAGCCGGAGCTCCGGCACGGAGTACCATTTCCCGGTCGCGTGATCCGGCGGCGATGCTGCATTAATGGGATTGGTCTCGGTGGCCATTACTGCCGATGAACGAACCGAGCTCCGGCGATGGTAGGCGTAGGCGAAGAGAAGGTTTGGGAGTGGAACTAACGGGAGCGCGCGGCATGGGAAGGAGTGGAAGTAAAAAAGGAGTGGCTTTATCAAACGGGGCGGCGCTGCCGCGGAAGCAGCGAACATTTCTTTGGGCGGTGGGTGGATATCTTAACTATGGTGGGGAGCGACTTATGGGCAAAAATGAATTAGGAGGACACGTGGCGGAAATCGAATGGGTTTGTTTCTGAAGAAGTTCGAGATCAACGGTTAAGAAGTTGTTAGATCGAGTTATCGGACCTAACAAGAATTATCATATTTTATGAAAAATAAATTATTTTTATTAACTTAAAAATTTCGGACCTAATATGTATTTTTTAAAATCTCACAACTTTTATTTTGTTTCAATTAGCACATTTTAACTTTTTTTTGGCGTACTCTATTGAATTATGCTATATTTGAAAAAAAAGTGGTAACATTTTTAAAAATACATATTAAATGTTATATTGATTATTGGGTCATTTCTCTTATTTTAATTTCTCTTATCTTAAAAAATGCAATAAAAATAATTACTCAATTTTTAGAAAGACAACCGATGGAAAGTTGCAATTTACTTTCTGTCTATCGCATCTTTTAGAATAAACTGAATTTCAAATTTTACTTTTAAGACTTTTGAATTCAAACAAATACAACTTATAATTTAATAATTAGCTGCAGAAAGAACAAGGGGAAGAGGCTGCCATTTTTTTTGTCTCCTTTGTGAAAACCTGAGGCGTGGCTGATAAACTACGATTGCATTTTTCTTTAAGAAGTTTCGGCCCAAGAGACAAAGAAAACGGTGGATACTTCCCCTCAAGTTTGGATCGTGCCCTAGTAGCCGCGCTCTTATCCAAGGTGTTGCCTTGTTCGGGGACTTTGGTTTCAATTCTTTCTCAAATCTCGATGATTGTGGGTCCTGAGTCGGCGAGACGAGACGGGGAGTTTGAGGACACTAATCTAATACCAGGCGAAGAAGAAGAAACGTAACTCCACTAATTATTTAGAGGCCAAAAGAATGGCATATAGATCGTCGTGGCACGAACTCAGAATTTCTTCGCTTCGATTCCGCCCCTACACAACTAAAAAAAAGGCACGGTAAGACCAATGCACCAGCCAGCCGGTGTGGTGGCAAACACTCTGTACTGTAAGCTAACCTGTCATTTTCCGCTTGATCGTTAACTCAGGAGCAGAGCCGCCTTTTATCTTAACTATCAATGTTTGTCGGCCTAATTTATGTAACATAAATTTTCTTAGATGGTGTTTGGTTCGCATATTTGAATATTTATATAGCTTAAAGTTGATTTTTAAATAAATATTGACATATAATTAAGTTTCTTTATCCTATATTATATGTTTCTTATCTCATTAACTATATAAATTATAAAAATTTAAATAGTCTAAGTTCAACCTAGTTTAACTAATTAGGGTATATATATTTTATTAAAAAGTAAAAAATTTGAATACTAACCCACGTATTATCGAACTAAACAAACTTAAATTATTTAATCTCAAGTGAGACCTTTCAATCTCTTGCAATGAATGATTCTGGAGGTGCGAATTCATGGTCCAAAAGTAATTTCCATTCCTTTCTTTTAACACGTACACAATTTCATTATAAGAATATTATATTTATGAACATTTTAAGAGGTGACAAGCTTGTGTTATTATAATTATGAGTTGCCATATTTGCACAACAAGATTATGATTTCAAAAGCATATGAATTATTAGAAATTGTTATTTACATATTCTGACGTTTTTATGTAACTGTTAGTTAGTTCACAAAATTTAGACTCCCATTGCTTACTTGGAACGCATGCATTAATACTTCATTTTTACCTTTATTTTATCATAACCTATTTCTACAATTATTTATAAAATTAGAACCAACTTTTAAAATTTTTAAATGAATGGAAAACAAAAGTTTATTAATAAATAAACCTGATTTCTTCAACACAATACTACTAACAAAAGTTATCAAATGGTAAAAAGAAAATATCTAACTACAAATAAATTTACAACAAAAGTAAATACACATCCTTTTAATCATTTTATCAAATGTAACATGAATTTTAATTGGTCTTATGCAAAGGACCTTTTGTACTATTTTGTAATTTTTTCATATTTTTAATAGGTAACGAGTTATGGAAAAAATTGATTCGATATTGTTAATATTTGTTTATTTATTTTATAAAAAGATGGGGGAAATTGGGAAAACGGTTACAAGCATGATTTTGACACGTGCCGGCGGCAGCAGAACTCCACTTGCAGACCTGCAATTAATCCATGGCGGCGGAGCACCAGATCGTGATGCTACGATAATGGCGAAGGCATGTAAGTAAAGATCAGGAGGCAACAGATAGAGAAAAAGCCCTATCTCTCTCTCTCCGCCATGGGCCTCTTCAATTTCTTCACCATTGCCACAACTCGGACCAGAACTCGCTCTCTGTTGAAAACCCTTCGTTACATGAGCAATGTCCCCGAGAACACGGTCTACGGCGGACCGAAGCCGCAGATTCCACAGCAACGGGTCACTCTTACCAATTTGAGACAAAAGCACAAGAAAGGCGAACCGATCACCATGGTCACTGCTTACGATTACCCTGCGGGAGTCCATCTGGACATGGCCGGAATTGATATTGCTTTGGTCGGCGACTCGGCTTCCATGGTCGTGCACGGCCATGACACCACGTTGCCTATAAGCTTGGATGAAATGCTTGTTCATTGCAGGGCCGTGGCTCGTGGGGCTAGGAGGCCACTTTTGGTTGGAGACCTGCCCTTCGGTACCTATGAATCCAGTTCCGTGCAGGTTATTTTTCCCAATGGTTTTGCCTTTTAGGTGTTCGAAGAAACGACAGCCCATCTGGTTTCGTTCATATAGACTTAGAAAAGTTCACTTTTGTTGTTATTCGAAATGAGCCATACGGGAATTTGGGGAGTTAATTTATTTTGATCCAGATTGTGAAAAGTAAAACGTAATTCCAAGCTTTTATTTTTAGTTTTTTTAGAAAGTTTACTAGTTTTGTGAAGTTATACTAAGCACTGAAAAGGGTGTGCGAAGTATCAAAAACTAAGTCTTAAATTCGTATTAAACCATGTTTTCGTTTGATTTCTTAATTATAATTAGGTCAACAGTGAATTCAAAATGCATAGATTAGTCCACTTTTCTAATAATCTCTTTTGATAACTCAGAAGAAAGCTAGTTTTAGAACTGTAAGAATTTATCTCTGAGGGGGGGATTGGGTGACCTTAATTGAATTGTAGGAGCAGCCAGCTTTGGAAGTACTGTACACAACTCTTCGATTTCAAGAATGAACCAGAATCATGTTGCTGTATTGGCAGGCTGTTGATACTGCGGTGAGAATTCTGAAGGAAGGGGGAATGGATGCAATAAAATTGGAAGGGGGGGCACCTTCTAGAATAACAGCAGCGAAAGCTATAGTCGAAGCGGGAATTGCAGTAATGGGGCATGTTGGACTTACTCCACAAGCCATTAGTGTTCTTGGAGGATTTAGACCTCAAGGGAAGAATATTGCCAGTGCTGTTAAGGTCCTCCCAATCCTCTATTTGTTTATGGGACAACTTTCTTTTTGTTATGTTGTGTAGGTTGTCATGTTCATTTCGATTGTTATGTTGAATGGTGTATATTTCCAGGTGGTGGAAACTGCAATTGCTCTACAAGAAGCTGGGTGTTTTGCTGTTGTTCTAGAGTGTGTTCCTCCGCCAGTTGCAGCTGCAGCTACAGCCGCTCTCCGAATTCCCACCATGGGCATTGGAGCTGGGCCTTTCTGTAGTGGACAAGTTAGTCGATTGCATAGACATCCTTATATATGCCACACACACACACACACATATACATATCCATGTCTGACTGCCTAATGTATTTCCTTGAGTTGTTTATTAGTCTCTTTGTTTGATCTGACATATATTCTACCTTTAAATTGTTTATTTACACCTGAGAAGATGAGTCAGAGTTTCTTCTCTCTCGTTCGAGAGAGAAGCATCGAAGGTTGCCCTTGCTTAGTCTTTTTAAATGGTTATTTTTTATGTTTCTCTGATTGTCTAGATTGGACTGTTCACTGTTTGAATTATTGTGAGAATGCCTAGYCGAAGAAGATGTATTGGTACTTTGAAGGCATATTCGAACATATTCAAGAGTAGTCAAATATTACTGCTGGTGAACTCAACAACAATTTCATGGACACACCTTGCATTTCATTTGACAAAGAAACAGTGTTTATGCTTTATTCAATATTTCAAAATACAAATTTTGGTTTTTTATTTTTGTTTTTGTTTTAACAGAATTGACATAGATATGTTGGGTTTATCGTGTTCATACTTGTTTGATAAGGACCATCAACATATTAATTTTGTCAAGACTCAAGATGAAGTTTCTGCAAATACCATGGAAGTCAGTTTAGAAGCCATCGTGAATTGACTTAATTTAGTTTGTGAAGCAAAACTAGACATGATTTTTCTTGTTTTGTATTGACGTTAGATTCTGTTCGTTATT